CCCCCCTTATTCTTCTTTAGAATATTTGTCCTTGTTGCCCCGTTGTTTCTTATTTGCATTTTTCTTCCTTCATACATTATTATACACACATTTTCCACTTTTAACCTTTCCACATTTATTCTCTATTATTTCTAGTCTCCAACCAATCATACCACTTGTTCCATATTAGATAGTATTCTGTGTCTTCCTTTTCTTTTATCTCTTTTGTTAATTTGTCCATCTCAGCACAGTCCAGAATTTTCCTTATCACTTCTTCCTCTGATGGTATATTCTCATTTTTCCAGAACTGTGCGTCCAATGCAGTTCTAACATTATCTTTCAACCATCTTGTAGTAGAAACCCACATTCACCCCAGGAATAAATTCTTGCAAAATTATTTTCAACCTTTCAGCTAAAATCATTGTGAACAACTTATAATCATTGTTTTATTTATTTATTAAATTTATAGGCCACCTATCTTGCCTCAAGATAACTCAAGGTAATTCATTAATGATTTTGGTCTGTAATTTCCGACTGAAGTCCATTTTCGTCCTTATTTAGCTGTTAATGTTATCCTGGGCTCTTCCCAGGTCCCTGACCACAGAGGTCCTTGGGCCCTGCAAAGGTTATCCGAGTTCCTCCTGGGGAGGGACGTAGCCTGGCTTCCCGGCTGGGAGGGGCCGCATTCCAGGCAGAGTGCAGAGAGGTTGAGAGGGAGGAAGAGAACCGGAGCTCCCTGGGAATTTTCCCCGGGAACTCTTGGATGGTGCAAGGAGGCAGCTGGAGTTGGGCAAGATTTATTTATTTATTTATTCATAATATTTATAGGCTGCCCACCTTGTCTGGAGGTGAGGAACGATAAAGGAGGCTGCTTAGAAGAGCCACAATGGGTGTTTCTTGGTTTCTGGAGCCTGGCAATAAGAGAGACTTTCCTGGTTTGTTCTTTGTAGTTGCTTCTGAGACTTCCTTGGTCATTATAGGTCCATACAGAAACTGTCTTTGTTGCTTTTGAAGATATTCATCTGCTTTCTCCAAGGGGATAACATGTCTTTTATCCAGATTAGAATAATACAGTAGAAAAAGATGTATGGAGACATTGTTCTTAGACGTGTCTCATGTGAGCGCCAGACATTTTCTTTCAGGCCCTCACGGCTGATATCACTCATTCTGAGCTTTATTTTTTTTCTTTATTCTCTCCCCCCCCCCCCAATTAATTCCTTTCCAAATACTTTTCTCTTCCCAGTGTTCTGGCAATGGTGCTTTTCACAGATCATGCAAATGCCAATAATAACAACAACAACAACAATAATACTAACAACAACAATAATAACAATAACAATAACAACAAAATAATAATAATAATAATAATAATAATAATAATAATAATAATAATAATAATAATAATAATAATAATAATAATAATAATAATAATAAAGTTGGAAGGGACCTTGGAGGTCATCTAGTCCAACCCCCTGCTCAGGCGATTTCAGACAAATGGTTGTCCAGTCTTTTTTTTTTTTACAAACTTCCAGTGTTGGAGCATTCACAACTTCTGGAGGCAAGTTGTTCCAATGATTAATTGTTCTAACTGTCAAGAAATTTATCCTTCATTCTAGGTTGCTTCCCTCTTTGGTTAGTTTCCATCCGTTGCTTCTTGTCCTGCCTTCAGGCGCTTTGGAGAATAGCTTGACTCCCTCTTCTTTGTGGCAGCCCCTGCTTTCATGTCCCCCCTCATCCTTCTCTTCATTAAACTAGACATACCCAATTCCTGCAACTGTTCCTTATATGTTTTAGCCTCCAGTCCCCTAATCATCTTTGTTGCTCTTCTCTGTACTCTTTGTTGCTCTTCTCTGTACTCTTTCTAGAGTCTCAGCATCTTTTTTACATCGTGGTGACCAAAACTGGATGCAGTATTCCAAGTGTGGCCTTACCAAGGCCTTGTAAAGTGGTATTAATACTTCACTTGATTCTATCCCTCTGTTAATGCAGCCTAGCACTGTGTTGGCTTTTTTGGCAGCTGCAGCACACTGCCGGCTCATATTTAAGTGATTGTCCACTAGGACTCCGAGATCCCTCTCACCGTTGCTACTATTGAGTAAGGTACCACCGATACTATACTTGTGCATTTGGTTTTTCTTGCCTAAATGTAGGACCTTACTTCTCTTGGCTTCACTTGGTCTTGGTCTTTCAGAAGGTTTGTCTGAACCCCACTTGCAGCACAGACTCCCAAGGGGGGCGGAGGCCATCCTTGATCTCCAGTTCCAGTTGGTCCATCCAGGTGCTCCATCAGAACCCCCTGGACACACAGACTGATTCCCTTCCCTGCTTCCTTTGTTGCTCTAGCATGGGAATCATGTCTTCTCCGTTTTGGGCAGTGGAGATTCTCCCTGATTTGGGGACAGCAACTGCTTCCCTGTGTTGATTGTGATGCCCTCTAGAGGAGGGCTTTTCAACCTTTTCACAGATTGTACCACTTTTAGAATATGGCAATATTCAAGTACCACCAGTCGCCTAGCAAGGTGTCCAAAACTTGATGACCAAAAAAAAATGGAAAAAAGTGATAAAGTACAGGTAGTCCTCACCCCCCTTATATATTCTCTCTGCTCTCCCCGTCAGTAGGACCCAGGCAACGCCCTGTGCAGTTCCAGATGACTTTCCCAGAAGCCTCTGCGGCGCTGCTGCCGCTTCACCTCATCCACTTTTACATTTGGTTTTTTTTACACTTTTTTTACAATGTTGTTCAACCTGTCGTACGCGCAGGGCTTTTTTTTGTCATAGAACGTTCAGAACGGAGTTCCGGCACCTTTTTTGGATGGAACCTTGTAGGGTAGGCAAGACAGGTTGTATGTGTGTGAGTTCCAACACCTTTTTTTTCTTCAAAAAAAAAGCACTGCGTACGCGTACCACCTGACAGGTGCCAATGTACCACTAGTGGTACACTACCACCGGTTGAAAAGCCCTGCTCTAGAGTACTGATTCCCTCTAAGTTGTGTTGTTTACAAAACAGGGAAATTCAACTTGTATCTGAGGCTAACCGTGAGGGATAACAGCACTGTGAAATTGCCTAGAAAGCAGCTTGCCAAGGGGAAGATTGTGGGAAGGAGTCCCCCATTTCTCCTAGGATATTTTCCCCTTGAGCCTGTATGATCAGCTCTTACCCAATCACCCAACCCCTGCCTCAGAATCTGGGGTGACAGTAGGCAGAGAAGGGTGAGCCCCATCTGTTTAATTCAGCCTTGGTCCCGCCACCCAAACAAACACGGTGGAGCCCTGCTTGGGGGGCCTTGCCCCTGAGAAGCTCCATGAAAGGCCTGAGAGAAGACCCCTGGCAGGTCTGTAAAAACGCAGCAAGGACTCTGGCCAGGACGATGAAAGGCACAGCCATTCTTGCACAGGGAGAAGTTACCTTTGTAAGATGCTGGCTGGCCAACCCCTCCCATGTGCTCTCACCTGTACAGGAGCAAAGGAAGGGCTGATGGGAACCAGCACATAGTTCACATGATATTTACTACTACAACTATACTGGCTAGTGGTTTAAGTGGCATGTTCGAGGATCGTGTCCAGCAATGCATCTCACCTGGCTCCATCCCCAACAGGTAAACAACCTTTCTCATCCATGTGTCCGACTATCCTGGTGGATGAGAAGAACAAAGTCAGGATGGTGGTCGGTGCTTCTGGAGGGACAAAAATCACAACAGCAACAGCCCTGGTGGGTCACGCTGGGTAGGCTGAGGGATGCTTCTGGAGACCACCTCGTCTTGCTCTGTCAAGAAGCCCTGGACCCCGTGGGTTCTCTGTGGGGTGGGGACAGGCAGCACTCATGGTGGGCATCTCTTTTCTGCTCTGGGGATACCAGTGTGCCTACCAGGACCAGAGAGGTTGCTAGGCCAACTATGGAGGGCCCCCCCCTAAGGAGGGAAGTCTGAGCTAAGACCGAGATCTGCAGACAGGGCTGAATCGGTCCAGTGAAGGGGATGTGCATGCGGTGCTTGACAGAAAAAGAGAGAAGTAGCTTCCAAAGTCTCACCAGGTTTTCCTTTCAGGTTCTTGAACAGACTATTTTTGAAGCTCTCTAGATTTTGTCTTTCTGGGAAAAAAGGAGATTTAACCCACATAGTTATATCAATTTTGTACTCTTTGCCATAGAGTGGGTTTAGCTACAGCTGTGGATTGGGGGAGTTGAAAGGAAGATGGAGAGAAAAGGTTGATGGATGTCTCTTATCTAAAGTTACATTTGGATTTGCAAGCCCCTCAAAATTTACAGTTTGAACAGTAATATTGGAATCACAGAAAAAGTGAAAGAAAGTTTCAAATAGCTCCATGTTGAAATTCCTAGGTGGCATTGAGCTTTCCATTATTATCTATTTCACATAATTTGGGGGAAGATGAGGGAGGGGTGGCTTCAGCACCACACTCAGCCCCTTAGGGAAAACAGTTGTTGGCAAAGGCGATTGTCAAGTACATCTCAAAGCTCCTTGGCAAGGCAGACATTTTACTGAGCAGCTAAGGTCTCTCTGTGGTCTTTCACAATTCATCCTGGCTTCATGGATCCCTGGAAAGAACATCAGCTCCAGTCCTGTCAGGAGATGCTTGGAGACCTAATCCTGTACCTCTTCTTTCGTGCAGACAATCGTCAATGCCTTGTGGTTTGGCTATGATGTTAAGACTGCTGTGGAGGAGCCGCGAGTTCATAACCAGTTGTTCCCCTCAGCTACGCTTCTGGAGATGGATGTGAAAGAGGTCTGTTTAATAATGGAAGGATCAGGGAAACCTGAAGAGGGTTAACAGCTGAAGGGTTCTTTTTCAGGATTGGCTTTCCCGCCTCTGTCACAGTGTTGTGCAGTTAGGCTGCCTGGGAATCAGAGGGCTACAATTCTAAAACACATGCAGAGTCCCAGGTTGGGTGAAGTTGCTCCCTTTAGCTCAAGGGGCTTTCCAAATAGTAGCATTGTCCAATCCAGCTGACAGGTGACAGAACATCCCTGAGACCACAGCTGGGAGCAGCTGTCTCTTGACTGAGTGCAGTCATCTCTGGCCCGCAAGGCAAAAGAGTCTGAGGTAAGAAATGCTTTGGGATCTGTTGAAGATGACAGCGCGTCACCCGTTTTTTCCTTCCTAGGAAATAGAAGAAGACCTGGTGAGAAGGAAACATGAGGTCAACAGGACCAATGAAACTGCTGTGGTGCAGGCCATTCTCTGGACTGAAAATGGTTGGGCTGCAGCCTCCGATTCCCGGAAAGGGGGCTTCCCAGCAGGATACTGAGCTGGTCAGCTACACGTAGCTCAGAAGGCCTGAGACTGACAGGCTCACCACGTTCTACAGATCTCTGGAGCAAGTGATTCTGCATCTCACCAATGTGGACCGTGGGATAGATTTATAATGAACATAGGATGATGAGATGACCATGGGACACTGCTTCATTGACAAATACTATATATATATATATATGTAGAGATATGGGGAAAAAATCCAGCTGTTGGCATCCGCTTGGCCTTGGCATTTTTTAAGGATCCACAGAATCCGGCCATTGGTTCCTTGGTAGATCCCCTGCTGGATGCAGGAATTGCTAGCAAGGCCTCCTGGGGAAAGCCAGACGACCCAAAGTGGCTTTTGTGGCTTTGTGTCTCTGGCAGCAGAAAAGGCATCCCAGATGCTCCCACGGGTCCCTTTCCCAGACAGGTCAGCAGATGGCGCTCTACACCTGCGAACCTAGAGCAGAAGGAGATTCCCCTCCCTCCGAATGGATGGGGTGAGAGGCGGCCACCGGCCTCCACATGGGCTGTCAGCAAGCCCAGGTTTGTTTCGTCCAGGAAACCTGATAATTGGGCTGCTTTTTGACCCAGGTTCAGAAGACAGACAGAGGACTGTGGGAGGACTTGGGCCTTGGGAGACGAGAGAGCTCTCTCGTCCCTTTGCCAGCCATGCTCCCATCTGCTGTCTCAGCTACCCTTGGGGCTGATCCACCTAACTTCCCTCCCCCAAACCAGAGTGGGCTGGAAGGCAGCTCCCACAGATCAGAGGCCCCTCCGCGTGCTCTAGAGGGCCCAACGGGCACCAGGCCATTCCCAGCACAAGGCATCGCCCACCCACAGCAAGAAGCCAACGGGTTAGTGGGGTGCCAGCCAAAATGGGGCCAGGGTCAAAAAGAAATTACTTCAAAATAGCTAACTATAAAAAGGCTGTTTCCAATATTCTCATCCTTTCTCAAGTGTTATGCCCGGATATCACAACTGAATGATTAAGTATTGAAAAAAGCCATATTATTCATTCAGCCTAAAACTGCATGTCCTTTTTTTGCGGCCCAGTCAGGCTTGTAAAGATTCTAGTCAAGCTTCAATATCTTTTTGGCAAGTCTGTGGCCAACTAGGTATTTCCCCGTCCCACTCAGGGCATCTGGTGGATCATTTTCTAAGTAAGGACTTCGTGGCTGCTACATTTCATCTATTTCTCTGTATCATTTTAATCTTTTTCTTTCAAAAGGTTTTTGTGTGTCAGATAACCCTCCCCACCACTGGTTCACCATTAATCAAATAAGCTGGGAGGTCCAGTTTGGACCGTGTGACCTGTCACTTAACGATGCCTCTCTCCAGGTCAGTGAGACTCTGTGCCAGGCTTGCCCCAGCTAGAAAGACCCTCGACTCCGTTTGGTTGAAGGGATGGGTTCTTTTACTAAGGATGGCAGAGCTGGCACTCTGGGTTATTTTTCATATCGTGTAGCTCATATTTAATTATCTTCCTCTTCCTTAAAAATGAGGTGAGGTTAATTCAGAGATTTTCTTTAGAAGAAAGCTTGCTAAAGATAATCCAAATCCACGGAATTTGGTTGGGGCAAGAAAACAAGGGAAGTTTCTTCAGTTACCTGAAAGAGACCAAAAATGATGTGGCTGTGCAGGAGACGGATAATCAGTTTCCTTTGATTGCACTTGCAGGGTTTTTCACGCTCTCCAATTTATCCTCTGGCACCAGGAAGGGAAGCCTCCTAGAAACTGGGCTTTCTGGAAAGGGAGCACCCACTTTGGATCGAGGAAACCAATTTTAAAAAGCGAGCACAATCCAGGCACTTCCCAGCACAAAAGTGGGTGGAGGTGCATGTGGAACCAAGACAATGAGCAGGCTGGCCCACTGGAGCCCCCCAGAGGGGAAGTTGCCCATTCCTCCCCCCCCCCCCCGCCCTTGATGTCCCACTGAGGACAAGCCGCAGATTGCCCGCCCAAAGGGGCCGAAGGGAAAGCTGCCCGTGTTGCATCGCTGACCCCAAGGAGGGTGGCTGGAATGGGCTTGTCAAGAGGTGCCAAACAAAGGGAAAAAACAAAATCCTTGAAAATCCTCCACAAACAATTCTCAGCCTAAAATAAAAATGTTTCGGTACTGGGAAGCTTTGAAGACACCAGAGTTGAAAAGAAACAGACCCGGAAATAATTTGTGAAAATATACTTTAAACTTTCTATAGAGGAAATGTGTGCATGAAGAAATAAAAAAAAAAAGCTCATAATCCAGAATGACTCTCCCATCAGCTCCCCCACTGCTGGCCTCCCCGCTTGTGACCAACACAGTAAGGCAGCAGAATTGCAGCTTTGATGAAGGCTCAGCAGGTGGGAGTACAGCAGTCCGTAACTTTCACTTTCAGCAATAAGAACAGGAAAGGCTCCTGCTGGTGCCTGTGGCTCTGAGGCCTCCAGGGTGGGAGGGCAAAGCTAGGGGCATTCAGCCCCCCCCCCCACCAGCCTGAGACCTCGGTCCACAAAAGGCCTCTGCATCAAAGGTTAATGGCTCCCGGGTTCTGCAGGGCTTTCAGCCCTCTCCAGAGCTTTGACAGCAGACCCTACTCAACCCCTGGGGGAGGGGGCTGCCTCAGGCCCCCTGGGCATTGGCTCATTTGCTTGCCAGGCTCCTTGCCTGTTTCTTTCCCTGAGCAAAAGCTTCGTCCAAAGCCTGGAGCTTGGAAGAGCTTCCGCCACACAGGCTGCAGCGTTTCTGCTCTCTCCAGTCCCGAAGGGGGGGGGGTTCTGTGGGGATTCTGGGTTCCTATCCTACCAAATTCAGGCTCAGTCCCGTAATTTCCCACCCGTGCCAGTCTCAGTCTTTCTCACTGGGCATCCTCAGCTTCCATCAGCCACAGACACTCCGTGGTTCCAGGAGGACATTATATCTCAGGACAGAGAAGAGGCTACTTCAGCCCCGCCCCCCTTTCCCTCAACCTCTGGACTCACAGGAGACGGACGTGTGGCTCAGCTTCTCTTTTGCTACAGGATGAACGTCTCGTGTGTGCGGATATAAGGTCCAGTTGCAGGGCAACTTTCAGCAGGAAGTTAGGTCTGACAGAGGAGAAATGTAGAACACAGTTTGGGCTGTGAGTGTGTGTGGTTTGCACAGGAATGCGTCCAAAGGCTGATGGCAGAACCACCAGAGAAGGAGAACAGTTGCTTCAGAGTTTAGCGGCGCTTCTCCCTGCTTCTAGTAGCCGGAGGCTTCTCCTCGCTTCCTCCAGTCAGAATAAGGGAAGATGCAGGCGCCCTCCTGGGAGATGCCCTGCACCACATTCAGGGCATGTAGAGCAGTGTCGACTGAGTGCCCCAGGGTGATCAAAGCGGTCGTGAGGTTCTGCAGAGAAAAAAAAAGCAACGGTAAGCCCCACATGCCCCCTTCAAAGGCCTCCTGCACAGCTCTTTGGGCCACCATATTAGGAAGGGGGGGCTGGGCAATGAGACGAGGCAGCCCGGAAGACCCTTCGGGAGAAGGCTGGGCTGGGCAGATGCAGAACAGGCTGCTCTAATTCAGGGTACACGAGCCTCATTCTCTCCACTGACTCCAGGACAGGACCAGAGTGAGTGGATTACAACTAGCAGGTAGCAGCAGGCTCAGGCTAGGCATAGGAGGAACTTCCTGACACTACAAGTCGTAAGCCAGTGGAACAGGCTGCCCCATGAAGTGGTGAGTTCTACTTTGTTGGGGGTCTTCAGAGACTGGATGGCTGTGAAACCCACTGAGGTGAATCCCAGAATCAGGACTTGGACAATCTAAAGTCTGACTCTGGGAAGATCAGCCGGGCAGGGAATTCCAGGACAGGAAGACACTGCAGAGCTGCCCAAAGTACCTCAAAATAAGTTTCTGAAGTTATTGGGGACTTTTCCATCCAAGTAACAGACAAGGGAGCCATTCTGGAAACCTCTTTCTCCAAGTCTCCAGCTGGACCCCTCTTCTCTCTGTGTCCCAGTTATCTCCCCACTTTCACCCCCCACCCTTCCTAAAGCAAATGACTGACCTTCCGTTTTCTTGTTCACCTAAGAGAAGACGGAGGGAATGCCCTGCTGAGGGATGGGGGCAGGCAGAAGGGATGGAGCCTTCCTCTTGCCTGTTCTATTTCTTTTCCTTTATTGGAAAGCTGGCAAAGTAGCTGAGCTTCATGAGCATCTCCACCCCCCCCTCAACAAATGCCTCCCACAATGAGACAGGGGAAGGAATCCCAGACGGGCTTCGTGGAATAAGAACCTGACCAAGGCTGGGAAGTAATGGAGGTGGTTCTCCTCAAGGAGGACTTTTTCACCCAGCCTTGCTGCTGTGAGCATTTGTGCAGGACATGAGATCCCCACCACCAATTTAGGGGGGGGAGGTGGAGGGGGAGAGAGAAGAGCCAAGAATCAGGTCCGCGTCTCACCTGTGGAAACCGCTTCTCCACTAGAATGGAGCCACCACCAGTGGCATAGAGGATGGGCGCTCTGATGGCTTGATCCAGATCGTACCCAAACCATAACTTGTTGACGATGGCCTGCAACAGAGAGTCCTTTGATAAACCCATGAAAGAGACGTCTGGCCAGGAGCATCCTCACGGAAGCTAAGGAATAGTCACGGGGAGCATTCAGTGGATGCAATTAAATTAAATTATATCAAGGTAGTCTTTTGCCCCAAGCTCTCCCATTGCTTGAACTGCAACGTCTATCCAGCCACAGAAGGTCAAGTGCTTCTCGCTCCCACAGGAGTTTGCATATTCCTGTAACTGAAAGGGATTTGACTGCATGGAAACATGACTAAAACTTGGCTCTTCATGGGAAAAATAATCCCACCAGGCTGCTGTGAAGGGAAACCCCTGGCTACCTCTCAGCTGAGGAGAAGAACAGCTTCTTCCAGGAAAATCACAGAACTAGAGGAAAACACTCGGGGGAGGGGGCAGCAGCTCCGGAACAAGGCTTTGAACTGGACTCTGCAGGGTGGGGTTCATTAATGAAAGCTTCTGGGCCATCCTCAAGGGCGGCTCTTGTATAAGGCAGGGGGCTTCCATGCCTTACCTGGGCTACAGCAGGGATAATGAGGGGCCCACCTGAGCCGCCTATTATTAGCTTGGACTTCTCATTTTTAGAAAGAAGAATGGATGGTGTCATGGAGGAGGGAGGCATCTCTCCTGGAGGGAGAACAGGATAAAGTGTTAGCTGATAGAAGAGAATCTTTGTAGCGCAGGGTTGAACTGTGGGGTCCTTGGTGCTCTCTGGGCTTGGTTGTTGTCTTGCAAACTTTTAATTACCAAACTAGGTAACATCATCATTCATCATAATGAAATGTCTGTAATAAATCAACAAAGCTCAGAGACCACCAAGGACCCCAAAGTATTGGCTCCCTACAGGATCCACCTCTTAGGAAACCCAACACCCTCGCATAAGGTAGCAGCATGCTTACACACTTCCTCAGCAATTCTAGCCTCTGAGGAAGACCAGAGAGTTCAGTGTGATTCTTTGTGGGGGGAGCAGTGGTCTTTACCTGGAGAAATGCTTTCACTAGACCGCTTCATGCAAAAATCAGCCAGCTCATTGTTTAAGATGATCCCAGTTTGCTGCGAATAGACCATTGAGCCAAACCTAAGCAGAGAGAAAGCAGATGGGGGAGGGGAGAACATGGTCGGGAACGCATTGATCAAGAGACTGCTGTGAAACTGGCTGTGTGGCCTCAGGTACCCCCTCTGAACGGGGCTCCAGGGGGCTCAGCTGGTACCTTACCCATCTCCTGGAACAGAGATGGGCAGGTCCTGCAAGGATCATAGGCCCCAGAGGCATTCTCTGAAGGGGATGCTCAATCCTGACCAGCTCAAGGTTGACTCAGCCTTCCATCCTTCCGAGAATGGTAAAAGGGGGATCCAGATTATTGGGGACAAAATGTAAACCGCTGAGAGGGCTGTAAAAGCACTGTGAAGCGGTATATAAGTCTTAAGTGCTATTGCTCTTTTCTCTGGCTTGCATCACGTGTCCTCAGAGAACCCTTTTCCTGCCAGCCTCAGCAATGGCCTCCCCCTCAGACTGGGCGTTCTGGGCACGTCTGCGAGGAAGGGAGGCCTCTCCTTGAGGAGGCAAAGCTCCTCTGCCAGCTGAGAAGCTCTTGGGAGGGGACTCTGGAGGGACAGGCCTTGACTCAGTCCAGGGAAGGTGGCGAGCAACCTCCCCAACATTTTACAAGGTTTGCCTGTGGGACCTTCGGTTAACAAAGGAGGAGCAGGATTGTTCCTGGAACCGATGGCCATGAGCAGCACAAGCCCCACTGGTGGGTCAGTTTCACACATGGAATTGTGGGTGGACTCGGCAACTGGGAGTGGCTTTCAATGGAGTGACCACAGGTGCTTCTGCAGAGACTCTAACTGGAAGGAGGTGGCAGTTAGCAACAAAACCAAGGGTGAGACCTCCTGGACATGGAGGGCCAAATAGTCAAGGCTGCCCTCAGCATCGCTGGTCCACAGCTGCCCCCACTTACGGGTGGTTGATGGTGCTGGTGGCTGACACAGCACTCCCATCTTCTGCCAAAACAGCCACGTGGGAGGTGCCAAAAGGAGCCATTCTCAGCTGGGCAGGGTCATAGTGGCTGGCTGGGTGGTCACCCCGGCTGTCGATCAACTGCCTGATGTGGTCAGCAAAGGCATCTGACATCATCTCGTGGAGAACCTCCTGAAAGGGTGGGCATTCCAGTCAGGGAAAGAGACTGCTGTGGGTGGCCCTGAGACCACTTTCAAAATGCTCAGAAGCCAGGAGGGCTGTGAACAGAAAGTGGAGTTTCTGGAGAGTGGAGCAAGGGAAGCTGAAGGCCCTTATCATCTGAGATGAAAGATCCTGGGAGCAAAGTACCAGTTTCTGACACACACCTAATACATACGCAAGTGGGCACTGAGCTGCTGACCCTAATGTAATTCCAACAATCTGAAGGCAGCCCCAGGAAAGACCCACCTCATTTATTTTAGAAAAATTGGGGTCATCTAATTTTGCTCTTTGGCCATTGGCAAATTTCAAGGTCTCTGCGATGTAGTGATAGGCCCTTGCTCTTCCCTTTGGTTCTTCCAGATCCACTTTGGTGAAATTGAACCCTGAAAGACAAGGAGAGTTGTGGATGACCTACCACCAACAGACTTAAAAAAATGTTTACAGGTGGTGCTTGACTTACAAGGATTTATGAGCCGTGGTGGTGCAACAGTTGGAATGCAGTATTGCAGGCTGACTCTGCATTCCACTGCCAGCAGTTCGATCCTGACCAGCTCACGGTTGACTCAGCCTTCCATCCTTCTGGTGTTGGTAAAATGAGGACCCAGATTGTGGAGGACAACAGACCAACTCGGTAAACCACTTAGAGAGGGCAGTGAAGCCCTGTGAAGCGGTGTATAAGGGCTACTGTTATTGCTATGACCAGAATTGGGACCAGAATTTCTATCACTAATTGATATAGTCATTAAGTGAGTTGTGACTGATTTTAAATTTTTTTGCCATGGTCATTAAGTGAATCACACATTTGTTAAGTGAATCTGACTTCCGCCGTTGTCTTTTCTTGTTGGAAACCCCGTAGGCAGGTCATAAATGGTACCCTGGGATGCTGCAAGTGTTGTAAATATACACCGGTTGTCAAGGAGTCAAATTTTGATCATGTGACTGTGAGGTCACTGCAACGGTCTTGTGCAGTGATAATTCACATTTTTCAGCACCGTCATAACTTTGAACAGTCATTAAACAAATGGTTGTAAGTTGAGCACTACCTGTACTTTTGTTATGCTCAACTAAATAACAAAATTCTGTAGACGGAACAATATTGTTTCCACTTGTCAGCTCTTGATATCTTTATTCCAAACACCATGGATGCAACTAAGAAGAACATTTGCATTCTTAAGACGCAGCAATTGAGCCCAACACATTAATAATCCCTTTGATGAGAGCCTCAGATGAGGTAATAGGACAAGAATAAATCAAAAGAGTTAATATTCCAATCTCCAGCAGCAAGGTGATCGCAACATTCAATGTTCCTTAGATTCATGTTGGGTTGTTGCTATATTACCTGCAGTTCACAGGAAATTGATTTCACATTGTTTAACTGTGTTTCAGGCTTGTCATTCTAGAAACCATGTAATAACTAATATAAATTTCATCAGCTCCAGTTTCCTATGAAGAAAGGTTATTGACTTATAAGGCAATTAAAAGTCCTCCAAAGCTGTGGAACTTCAAAACCAGTGACGATATTTGTAATAGCCCGATAGCTTAAAAATATAAAATGATGAATATAAAGTAAAGAAATCCTTCAAATAGGGAGGTTCCCCTTTAAATTCTAGAGACAGCAACACAAAAGCACCCTCTCAAAAAACCCAGGAAGTGTCTGGACAAGCTAGGACCTGGAGAACCAGCTCCTGCTGTCTGCAGTCTTCTTCTCAATGAGCAAACGCGATAACTTCCCTAGGAAAGGAATCCCTTTCACAAGAAAAGGTTTCAGCGAATGCCTTTAAACAGTATCAGCCAGGAATCAATCAAACTCTGTAGAAATGAGCCACCAAAAGTTAGAACTGATTAAATTATGCACTGGACTATCTAAGCTTCATTTTGCCAGCTGAGAAACTAACAAACAATCCACCGACAGGCAGACAAGTCCTGATAAAGAGATAGGATTAGGAAGGTTTCACAAGAACCCATTGTGAGTAATCTTGTACTAAATAGGACAAATGGAATCTTCGAGCAAAAATGACAAATGTAATCAACCAAGTGTGAACACTAGCCTTGAGAAAAAAAGTCACATCGACTGACATGCTTTAAATAATAAACTTTCTATATAAATATCTGAGCCAGCTTTTACTCTGGGCAATTCATTTGGAACTCTGTCCCAAGAGCCAGGCTCTCTGTTTCTGCAGAAACAAAAAGCTGGAAAATGACCTTCCGCGTTGCAGAGTGGTGTTGGCCAACCACTGGACCCAAAAAATAAAATTTTACATTGAATAAAACACTGAGATAGATCAAGCTGATTTTCATCTCTGCCAAAAAAACAGCTCTCTTTGAACTGAATGGTTACAAAACAACAATGTTATTAAAGTCTCACTTCACTAAAAACAAATCTTTGGATCTTGTTTTTAAATTGAATTATCCCATAAACAAAGTTTTCATGGGGAAGGGTCCCAGGCATCTGCTTTCTTGCAGCACCGCACTGAAATCCCCTTCCCATCAGGGATTCCAATTCCTGCCCAGACCTCCAGGTAATAATTCTCAAGGTGAGCCTAAAGACCTAAACACTGAATTTCCCTGTTCCATCCACTGACCAACCTCTGATGAAGGCCCAGCTGGAAGACAGGAGATGGGTAAAACTATCTTTCTCAAAAGGTAAAATCTTGTAAGAGGTTCCTACCAAGGAAATGTATTTGATATCTTGGAAATTAGTTTAACTTAATGTCACGCTCTTTACAGGAAGGCTTTGCGTGAGGTCAATTAAGTCTGGAATTAAATTCCTCTTAGTTGCATTTATCTTCCCTTCCATGTCCTGGCTGAGAAGAATTCCTGGAAATCCTTAGCCCAAGATAAACAAATTCAGCCTAAAATCTTGATTGTTTCTACAGTTATTATTATAATACAAGAGTATTGAAGCTGATTTATTCAAGTTTATAGACAGAATTCAAAATGACATTAAATGAGATTAGGAGTATAAAATTTAAGAAAGCATATAGTAAAATCTTATGTTTGGCTCTTTACTCAGTTCTATTATCATAAAATCATAAAATTGTGGAGCTCAAAGTGGCCACAAAAATCACGTAGACCAAGTCTATATTCATAATTTCTGTTTATACAGGTCGAAGGTTTAAAGGCAAATTACAAAAAGAAAGCCATCCTTATATGGCAAACCATTCACTAACTCATTACTTAAGAGTTGAATAAAATGTATCAATCCACAATATGAAAACTTTGGGGATGTTTGAGTCAAAAAACATTTTAAAATATCAAGGAACTCTATCAGAGCATGCAAAGAAATTAACTCATATCTTTTCTAATTTGAGGAAACAAGAACGCCATTAAAGTACAGTATCAGAAACAACAATGGATCAAAAATCCATTACTGTATAATTATATACTCTAATTTAATCAACCAGCCAAAGTTGATGAAATTGTAGCATTCATATTTATCAAGCAAATTTGCTTGATAAATATGAATGCTACAATTTATAATAATTATAGTGGAATTCACGCTCAGCTCAAGAATAACTTGCCTCATTAAAACCAAAGTAATGTGGGTGGCTCTGGAAAAAACGTATTCCTATCGAAGAAAAAAAAAGATCAATATAGCAATAGCAATAGCACTTAAACTTATATACCGCTTCACAGTGCTTTACAGCCCTCTGTACACGGTTTACAGAGTCAGCATATTGACCCCCACAATCTTGGTCCTCATTTTACCGACCTCAGAAGGATGGAAGGCTGAGTCAACCTTGAGCCGGTGAGAATCGAACTGCCAATCTGCTGGCAGTCAGCAGAAATAGCCTGCAGTACTGCATTCTAACCACTGTGCCACCACAGTTTATATACTTTTTATATTAATATTCTGGAAAACCATCAGGACAAGGAGTGCTTTTCAACATCACAGAATAATTGTAATGACAGTTACTGGAGGTGAAGAGCAAGTAGCTAAATTAACCACAGAAAATTGTTGTACGAAAAGAACTCAAGTTCTGTAAACAAAAGAAAACCCAAACCCCTCTATTCCCTCTTCTCTTGCTGAAGCTTCTGCGCAGCCCTCATTTGTATCTTGAATAGATGCTGCAATATCACATTAATTTGAATCTGGCAGGCAGCATCATACTGGGTTTCCTCCAGAATCATCTGCTTTATGCCATGAGCTAACAATTCTGCTTTGGAAAAAAAGCTTCTGCGCAATCATTTGGTCTTGAATAAATGCTGCAGCAGTGCCCCATGCTCAGACAGCAATCACCCCGAGTTCCTGTTAATGCCAGTAAAGACCCAGATGCAGGTCCCATCCCCCTCAGTTCTGGGCAGGTAGAATTCTGGGTTCCTATTCTTGAACAAGTCCCAAGAACAGGGTTTCTCCATCTTGACAACTCCCAGAATTCCCCAGCCAGGTAGTTGAGTCCACATGTCTTAAAGGTGGAGAAACCGTGTCTTAGGAGGAAGGGCAGCCCTCGTTGGGAAGGCTCAATGCCTGTTGCAGAAGGCTGGTGCTTGACTTGTGGAATAAGTTGCAATGGACCATATATTTTTTTTACTGCCAGCCCACCAGAACAGCTAAAGGACTGTCACCGATGATGAATTTCCAAGCTAGTTCTCCAAGAAGAGCCTTTCCCCATCTGGTATCACAAGATCCTCACCACCCAAAAGCCAGCTGTGATTCTTCCCCAGCTGGTTAATCAAGAGGCCCCTGGGGGCCAAGAGCTGCGCTTTGCTCATTTACCTTTCAGGACATTGAGAATGAAGAAAAGGACTGCTCCTGCTGCTGGCCTCGGGGCTGAGAATATGGTATATTTGTCCAGTGACATATTCAAGGGTTTCACCAGTTCAACATGGTAATTCTTGAGGTCCTCCAATGTCAAAGTGCCACCTAAACAATGATGGCAAAAAAGAGTGAATCTTTCAACCCTCCTAGGAGGTGATACTTTTCAGAAAGGAGGTGCATGTTGCTAGGAGCAGATCTGAGCCTGAGAGCTGCCATGGTGACCAACAGACAGCCTTCAAAACTATCAGCAGCTCACTCTTCTCTGCCCCTTTTTCTGGAGAGAAGATCTTGGATTACGTATCCATAATTAAAGTGGACTTACAAAAGTTAAATTTATTTCAATGGGACCGTGGCCATTAATAATAAAGTCAAGAGTTACAAATATTTCAAGAACAATATGGTCACCAATAATAAAAATAACTGAATGAAACGATTAATACAGTGTTGAATTGTCCCACAGCGAGTTGGCCGTGGCGAGTTGTCCTAGAGCTGTTCCAGGCTGGGTCAGCCTCTCTTCACCTCTACTTTCCCTCTGCTTTGGGCAGTGGGCTCTCTTCACGGAGACTTTCTCCTCTGTAGACCAGATCTTGGAGCAGTCCGAACAGCTGCTGAACAACGGGGGTAGTGGAGGGGGCCCAAAGGGAGGTGGGGGTAATTTAATTTAATAATTTAATTTAATAATTTAATTTATATACCGCCCTTCTCCCGTAGGACTCAGGGCGGTGCACAGCATATTAAAACAGACAAACAAAATACATCAAAGAACAAAAAAAAAACCCCATAAAACCAAATTAAAAGCCAAATATTCGAAGCTGTGTGTCAATTAAAATTTTCTTAAAATCATCCCTACCTAAAATCCTCCCT